AAAGGTTTGGTAAATAGTTTTCCCCTGCACGTATGCACACACAGATATGTGGCTTCCTTCCACCTTTCATCAACCCAAAAGCAGGGTTATAGTATTCTCTTCTCTGTTGCCTTTGACCTGGAAAAGACAGCTGGTGGTTTCAGAAAAACATTCCTGAGGCTGTGGTGAAGTAGTTGCTGCTTTTCCTCTCAGTTAGTTGCTGTGGCTTGTTACGAATGTGCATTTTGCCCATTTTAATGAACTTCAAAACTAAGTCAGGAATGTTATATCTCCTTGATTTGATTCTGACAAAATTACAAGCCAGGTGTGTTATTCTCAGGTATATGGCAGAGGGAAGTTAAGGGTCTTGGCATACCAAAAAAGTCCAAAAAGCATAGTGTATTTATAGAAATGTAGTTTAACTATACCTAACTGGTTCACAGAGCGTGTCAGCTTTTCAGAATAAAACAGTTAACACAGAAACAGATTCTGGCACCGTGTTGTCTTGCATGGCCAGACCCTGAATGTCAGGACAAACATGCTCTTAGGTAGAAGAAGCTCGGGTTTTTTTCCATTTTATGCACACTGTTTAATTTTAAATGAATACATTAAGGATAAAATTCATTGCAGTGCAAGTACCCACACCTCCTGAGCCTTAGTCTGAGAATCAAAGTGGCACATAGTAGCTTCTGCTGTGTTTTGGGTTTTTTTTAATAGGAGTTAGTTCCATGGAGGAAATGGGACAACTTTCTGCACTAACACAAACTGCACCCTTCCACGTGCTTTGTGTTGACACTGTATTTGATAAACACCCCTAGAAACTGCTCCGCTGCAGGCTTTCCAGTCTAAATTTCAACTCCACTTTGTCTTTCATTTCAGCCACAGCTCAGTACAACCTATTTTCATTCTGCATTTAAGAAAGTCTCATCCACAGGGAAGAAATCCACAAACAGACCAGTGTTGGTATTTCAGAGCAATTATACCTGCCTTTTTATGTATGACAGTTTCATATCATTTATTTTTAAAATATGTTTTTTAGGTTTTTCATTGTAATATTATTGTACAGTTTTGCATGGCATAGATGTAATCACTTTTTTGTTTTAGAGTATAAAAGCTGACAAGTGTGCGTGTGGGGGAAAGATTCTGCTTTTTGCCTCTTCTCACTATTTTGTTTAATGCCCTCAATGTTGTAGGGGACATTGTAAGAGATTCTCTGCTACAGAACAATGATGTAGATTCTTTTGCACAGAAATATTTAAGGTGGAAAAGTCAACAATGTAAAAATGACTTACCACCAATATTTTATGTTGGTAACACACTTAATATTAACCTACTTTGATGTACTGCAATAAAACAGGGAACTGTTAGAAATGCAGAAGTTCTGTCTTTTTTTCCTACCTCCCCATGTTAAGCTTTGAGGAAGAAAGGGGAAGGCGAATAATGGTGTTCTTGAAGATAAAACCAGCATGTTGTAACATGTCTGCACCAGTACACACTGGGAAGAAAAGGAATATGTAAGAAATAGCTTTAGCTCTAACAGGTTTCAGAAAAAATTACCAGAACCTTTTTGAAAATTCAAAGTCAAGCCACCTTATATTTTAATATATTGAACTTCATCAACTACACTTTTCCTGACCTTTTTCTTAGGTCATCTGTTCTGTGTCAATAGTTGTAGTCATTTTTTCTGATGTTCCTCCTTAATTCAGTTACACATCAAGTGTTTCAGCTGTCTTAGTGTTAGAGGCTGGACCCTTATTATTTCTGTGCTACTACCATCAAATTGACTTTCATCATCTTTAAGTGCATCTCAAAATACCTGTTAAGTTTTGCATGTGCCCTGACCCCTTGCACATCGTCCACCAGTTCCTCAAGTCAGCCTGGGATTTTCTCCATACCAGAGACTGTTTGTTGGGACATCTTCCTCTTCATTCATTCTCCTGTTGGTAAAAGTCCTAGCTTTGATTACATACTTCAGTCACAACCCCCTGCAGCGGGAATGGGAATACAGGACTGTGCTGTCACTGATCCTGTGTTGCCAGCAGTGCCAGCCTGGGCATTGTCCTGTCACCAATCCCCTCCAGGAACAGTCAGCATGCTTCCCACTTCTTACATGGCCACAGGCTACCTTACTGCACAGAAACTTCTGATCCTGTCCCTCTCCTTCAGTCAAAATTACTACTTTCTCAGCCCCCTACTCTAGCTTATGTGGATTTAAGCCCCTGGGCTCATCCCATTTAGGCCACTGCAGGTCTCTCCTAGCTGCTGCAGCTCTGTGAAATACCATCTGTTTCCTGTGCTCTGACTTTTACAATCAGTGCTGTATTTCTGATTTCCCAGGGCTCCAGTTGCATCATCACAGCTGTGAAGGTCTTGGGAAATGGGTCTTCTGTTCTCAAAGGATTGGGACATTAGAAAAGCAGAAAGTGAACTGTGCATTAGGCTTCCTGTTCAGCTCCTTGGCATTCATTTTCTGTTTTGATGCACCAGACAGGTTGACTAAAGAAAGAAGGTAGAAAAACCACTGTGACCGCATGTAGCCTGAATCTTGATTCTTTAGAATGGAAAATCCCTGTCTTCAGAGAAGCAGATTTAACCTCCAGCTTGCCCTGTGGAACAAAGAACTGTTTTCTGCAAAAGGATTTTTCTAGAACTTACAAGCTTGCTGCAGCAGAGAAATGTTCATATCCTCAATCTACATGTATAGTTCAAGCAAAATGCACTAGCTGGTACAGAGCAAGCAGCAGTGATCAAGTGTTCTTGTTCACTGTAAAACATCACGACTTGGGCACCAGAGCATCATGTTTCTGGCTGAACTTTTCTCCACAGCTGTTGCACTGACATGCAATTCCTCATGTCACAAATCTCTCTGGACAAAGCTATAGAAATTAACACTTTCAGAACATACACAAAAGACCAGGAGAATTAGGGACTGAGAGCTCTAATTAGCTCTCCTAATAAAGAAACACCTTCCTTACCTTCTGCTAGTTGCTATCCTTTAGGCAAATCCAAAACAACTCCATTGTTCAGCTTGATGTTATTCTTGAAACACTCTCTCTCTCAAGGGAAGGGAAATGTTTGCTGGGAGTTAAACATTCATGCCCCAGCATTCTACACAAAAGGTCTGTGGTCACATGAACAAGCACACACGAATCTCACCTAGTTATGCTTACTGGAAAAGTGAACTGTAATGCTCTGAGTTATTTTGACTTCTTTGCAAGTTCTCTGAACATACTGCCTCTAAATCTTAAGTTTCAGAAATCTTGCTCTGCAGCTCACCTAATCCAATACCTTTGTCAGCTTGTTATAATTTGCTTTTTAACCTTTAACATAAGCATTTAACATCTCAAACAATTCCACTGTTTTTCCAGCTGCAAGGTCTAGATCCAAAGGAGAAACTAAACAATGTCTATCATCAGAACCCAAAACAACAAAGAAAGAAAGTTACTGTGTGTCAGTATACAAAGTTAAACAGCTTAATGCAAAACTATTACTTCACTGAACAGCAGAGTTCACTCTTCTGAAAGGGTTAGGAATAACCTGACCAGTACTTTTTAGTTGAATTAAACAGCACTGGATCTTTCTCAACCAAGTCTTAAATGAAGAAGTTTGTATGTTTGTGATCTCAGAATAAAGGTAATACAGTAATCTGTTTTCCTGTTTCTCAGAGGTCCCTCCTGAGACAGACCATTTATTCACTTACCTGTTCTTTACCTCTGGAAGTGTCAGCAGTCAGGATTTCTTACGTACTGAAGTTTAAGATCATACAACCTCTGCATTCCTGGGCTGTGTTAACTGAGTAGGACCAGCTGAGCCTGCTGCTAAATATCTGGCACTTGCCAGATGAGGACATCTGCCTTACTAGCACCAGGTTAAGTATCAAATCCAGCAGCCACTCTTTCTTCAAAAGTGGAGGAAAGGCAAAAAGACCTGTGTCCAGGAGGCTGGTAACAGAGTGATTAAAACAAAGGAAAACAAGAAAAGAAGTCAATTACCAGGGATTTTCATGGCCCAGCAGATGCTCAGGCTGATGTCCTTCTGGTAAACTGGTCACCATCACTGCTAGCACTAGTGACAGAGCTGCAATGGAAAGGTGAAGGAATAAGTAGGCCACAGTTAGATGGCTTCACAAGGGTAGTAGCAATTCCTTGAGCAAACTACAACTGAAACGAGGAAACTTGGAAGCTCCTTCTGCTCAACTCCTGTTTATCCCACAGAACAGGACATGGTTCACTTACTTGGCTATTCATTACCGCACCAGAAGATGAAAAAACTGCAGGCAGAAGGCCCACCGCACAAGCACTTTTTTATTGAAATCAGGAAGTCATACAGGTACAGGCTTTGTACAAAAATCTAAGGAAGTAAATTTCCTAGCTTGACTCCAATAGTTTAAAACTGTGCATCTGGTTTTAAATGTGTGACATTTCAGCAAAAGCTTGAAATGCTCATGAGAGACATTACGTGTTTGTCTGCCTTGCCATAAGTTCTGCATTACAGGAAAACAGAGATAGACAGACGAGGTTCTTGGTTAGGAGTCCAGCAAGCAATTGGTGTCAGAGTTGGAGCTTATCTAACTTACCCTCAGGAAAGCCGATACCTACCAGACAGTGAAGAATCCCACTATTTGTGCTCAGATATAGCTCTGTTGTTGATTACATATTTGACTCCCAGAACGGAGATGGGTTGTGTGAGTGTATGTGTGTGTTTAAAAAGAGATTGGCACTCAATTCTCAGATTTTTTTAAAATATTTCCTATGTTTAGCTTGCAAGCCAAAAAGAGGCAGAAAGCATGAAACTTCATCCTATGTACACACACGCAGCCTCCTTGAATTAAATCAATGTCAGTAAAATCCAGGAAGGTTCTTAGACTGCCACCACTTGACTTACAAAAATGGGGGAGAGGTGCTGAATGTGTCTGTGGTAGGGTACACCTTAGTATTTCATTCTATAATTCACAGTATGAGCACTACTTGAATTCCACCTTAGCATGAAAAAGGGAAGGCTTTTAAAAAAATGATTTTTGAAGAATTACAAACAGGTTTCAATATTAAATTCTGCTCTTGTCCTCCTTCCCCTACTAGTTATAAAACCCAATCAATATGCAGCCGCCATCACAGTATTAAAAATGTGTTCAAGGTAGTCGGCTGGTGCCTTGAAACAGTACAGAAGCACTCAAGAAGATAGTTTCCTGCAAGCTGCAGACTGTACTGGCAGTCAGTGTGGGACAGACACAGCATGAAAGAACAGCTTTGTCCTTGTGAAACGCACACTTGGCTTCTGGGGCACAGGCTGCTGCTGCATCTCAAGAGGATGGAGAGCTGGGGTGCAACGCATGGGAGGCTAGAACGCTCTCTGCAAGGCTCAGATGAACTGAGCCCTCAGAACAAGACATGTTAGTTCATTCTTACTAATCCTCTGGCTTCTTGCCCCTACTGCTCCAGTATTTGCTATATGCCTCTTGGAACATGTTTTTGCAGGGAATTTTGGCCTTCAGTTTGGTGCAGATAAGGAAAGAACCGCCCATCTTCCGATGAAGAGAGTAGGTCTCCTCTGGCGGAGGTACAAGACGGTGCTTCAGCATGACTGGGATTAAACCATGGATCTTTTCAGTGGTGCTTTGGTTGCCGAAATCAAAAGGTTCCTCAGACGCAAAAGCCTCTCCCAGGATGAGGACAGCATTTAAGTGGGCATCTTCCATTTCCTGCCCAAAAGGAAAGAGGCATAAATAACATCACTAGCTATTTTAACCACCAGGGAGGAAAAGGAAAAGTGCTAGCCCTAAGAGCAGCAGCTCAGGAGAAATACCTAGCTATACCCATAACAAAGGTGACCTCCAGCCCCCAGCAAGACTGATGGACATTTGATTAATACAGTTTTGAGCAACTAAACCTTCCAGAAGACCATCTGCCCAGTCATGAAATTTCAGCAGTCATCACCACCTGCAGGGTCTCACTGGGGGAGAGAAGGAAGGACAGTGGTTTTGGGGCTAGCTGTATCATCGTTACTGCTCCTGCTCCCAGAAGGAAGTGAGAGAACAAAAGCCAAAACCTTTTTTGCCCTCCTCCCTCTTCCTTATCAACAGGGCTTTCAGGCTGGCATCAGCTTTTACCACATCAGTAAATCTGGGGAAGTCCACAGACCCGCAACAAACTTATCAGTGGCCACCACTAAAAGCAGACCCTTCTGCTCCATACCTTGACTTCATAGCCAGTGAGGAATTTCATTTCAATGGACTTCTTCAGTACTCTCTCTCTGTCCATGTCAGCAGCTGCCTTGATTACCTGAATAGGAGGAACACTTTCAGGAGGGCTAGGGGATAACTGAAAAATGTTTTGAGTACAGGACTACTATGTAGGCTACAGGTACACATGCTGCCTGCTCACTTCTTGCCTCTGCCCTCATCTTCAGGGGTCATGTTGGCCAGTTTAAAAGCTACTGGTAAAAAGACAGAGCTGCTGGCTCTCCAAAGCTCTTCCCAGTAGGGCTACACATAACGCAGAGAACATAAGGGACATCAAAAAACCTTCACAAATCAATCAGTCCCTCCCCCGACAAAATAGTAGAGCCAACTGTGAGAAGCTTTAGGTGACATCTGCTGGCCCTTGCAGCTCAATTTATCAACATGGTGATCACAAAGGAAGCACGTACGACTTCACATAAATTTTTCAGTCTGTAAGCAAGCTAGAAATCACAGGAAGAGACAGTGAACAGGACAAGCAATTCCTGCATACCTTCATATAAAAATCACTGAATTCTGAGTGCTCTGATATGCTCAAGTCTCCCAATAAGCAACGTTACAGTTCTCCATGTTTGTCATGCAGTTTAAACATCCAAACTCAGATAGCCAGAGGCTTGCAGCAGACATGCAGAAGGCTGTGGTGAGGGATGAAACAGGACCAGAGATCCGTCTCCCTCTTGCTTCCAGCCCTGCTTCCCTCCACACCCGAAGTGCATTAAGGGTAAAAAGTGATACAGCTAAGAGATAGGCATAATTTTGCAAATATGCTAAGACCCCCAGTGCAGCACTGTAGGACACAGTGCAAGTCCTCACCTCTATGTAGACATCTGTGAACTTCTCATCAAACCCTCGTGTTGCTCCAAAGTCCAGCAGGGCTACCTGGAAATGGACAAACCCATCTGTATTAGTGTCAACTGCTCAAGTAGAGCCTGACCTTAAGACGACTCCTGATGTCTTCAGGAAGCTGAGCTGGCTGGAGAGCCTTTCCACTGCAGCTCAGCTTTCCCCTATCTCCTTTATTCCCTGACAGCAGCACAAACGTTTGCGCTAGTACATGGCAGAGGAGGTATGGTCTATGCTCACAGTCACACCTGCTCAGCTGGTAACTCCACTCAGGCTTTCTGTGTGGAGACAGAGCAGCACAGAACCTTTTCCCAGCACTTTCCAACACAGACCCCAGGGATAAACAAGCAATACCATCCAACCTGCAGGGCACAAGCAAACAGCCAAGCCAAGCAGCAGGACATCTGTAATTGCTACCCTTATCTTCAGCACAGCACAAGACAAGAGCATTTAACTAAAGAGTCCTTGGCTCAGGTGTGCCCTGGTAGAACACTGCCAGCTGCAACTTCCCACTGACCAGCTTCAAAAACAGACCCTGAGAAGTACAAAGTAGCTGTGACTGGATCTAAGGCCAAAGACAGGCAGCCAGCCAGGGTTACAGGAGCCCTGCTCTCCTACCCAGACCAAGTGAGCACAAGTGGCAAAGGGACAGGTTTCACTGTCCTACCTGCCCAAGGATCAAAGACAGGAATCTGAGAGAATCTCAGTAAGGGCTCCTTAAACTCTGGGAATGGGGAATAGTCAAAAGCTGGTGAAAACCAGCTCTTAGACAGGCAGAACAGCAGCTGCTTGGGCTTACCTTGTGCAGCTGCGGGTCGTAGAAGAAGTTTGACCAGTTTGGGTCAGTCTGCATGTACCTGAACTCAAACAGCTCCCGCAGACACAGGACCAGGATGTTGTGACAGATCTTGAAAAGCAAGAAGAGAAAGCAGCAAGTCAGAAGGGCAGCAAGCCCTACTCGCACATGTAATTTACAGCAGGCATTAGCAAACAGGGAACACATCACCACGCTGGCAGGAACTATCTGCTCCATGCTGCAAAACCGCTGAAGAGGTAAGGGAGCACCTCTCAGCAACTCCCAGCCCACACCTGCCATGGGACATCCTTAGCAGACAGCACAGGTGCCGTGCAAGGTTTACATCAGCCTGAGCTGTAGTTATATCAGCCCCTGGATGTGCCTCCAGAGAGGCTGCTACCCTCTATCTGGCAGCTGAGAACAGGAGGCTCCAGGGGTCCTTCAACTGCACGTGTTACTGTGTCCTGGTCCAGCCTTTTACCTTACCAGCTTTGACTATGCACTTTGTTGTTGCTTTGAGAGCAACAGAACATCATCACAGTGCAAAGAGGGATCCAGAAGCAGAGGTGGGGGAGGCCAGTAGAGCATTACAGCCTACCCTGGTGGAAAGTCCTGCGGGACCCTGGCCAAAATTAAGTTGAGGCAGCTCAGGGGAAAGGAGATGCAGTTCAAGGGCATTTTAAGTTAAAGGCCTAAAGAAGCTAAAGAAGAGAGTCTCTTCCTGTAAAGCTGCCGAACAACCTACAGAACTAAGACCAAACCATTACTGAAAGCGCTCTTCACTAGACAGATACACCCACCCACCATGTACTCCTCAGCCAAGTCTTCTGCTGGGCTCAGCACTGACCCAGCTTGAGGGAGGAGCAGCAGACCCACACCTTGGGACTGACAGGCATGGGGGGAAGCAAGAGTAGCAGTCCCTGAAGAGCCCCCTGCTGAGTTACATACTGCAGCAGAGCTTTTCTGTGAGGATATTTAAGCTGGAGCCTGTTCAGCAGAAGAACTGCCAGCCTCATTCTGCCCCTCTTCAGCTTCTGCAGAGCTGAGTGAAACATCAAATCCAAGAGGGAGGAGAGGACCAAATGCAAGCCAGACTCTATCAGAGAACACTGCCATTTGGGTCAGGAGGCTGTGGGTCATGAAGGCCAGTCACTTACAGGAAAGAAGGACTGTTCCTGCAGCAACATCCCACCTCACAGCCTTTTAAAAGCAGCCCTGATGATACAGCAGCTCATCAGAGTGGACAAGCCCTAAAAACAGACAGCTCAGGGGACACGAAGCTATGCCAGAGCTGGCTGCCCAAGTCCAATATGACGCTGAGATCTGTTTATCTAGAGGAACATACTCTGCCCTCTTCCCCAGTGACCTGCTAACAGCTGACAGCTCACTCCAAGACAAAAAAAAAAAAAAAAAAAAACCAAAAACCAGGAAAGTTATTTCTGCTACTAGAGCAGCTGCTTGTCCCACCACAGCGCTCCAATCCCTTGCTATATTCAGCATCAACGCCTACCCATCCCTACATCCCCCCTCCTGTTTACCGAGAGGTACTTTTCCAGCAGCCCTGTACAGCACAGGTCAGTCCCACAGGACAGGATGACACCCAAGAGCTTGCACTGAGACGATTCTGCACTCCTGCCCAAAAGAGCAGCTGCAAAACAAAACCCCTCTCCGCTAGCTTACAATCCCTCCCAAACTTAAGGTCATCAGAAACAGGGCATCTAGGAGTTACAGCTAGGCTACCTCCCCTTCAGTCACCCTTGCCATTCACCCCCTCCAGCCCCTCCCTGCTGAATGCTGGCGCCTGCAAGGCCTGGACCAGCCTGGAGAGTCTCCAACGTCATGGCCAAATTCCCTGCACAGAAATCTTCTGAGAGGCTCCAGACAGTCCCCAACTTCAGCCCTGCTTTGCACCGCTCAGGGTGTGCCCTTCCACAAAGCATCCCCCGGTCACCAGGCAGGCCAAGCACACTGCTCTGAGCAAGGGGAGAAGCAAGACCACCCCACAGTACCTCATTTCGAATCTCCTGGCTCAGCCCTTCTGCTTGATCCAAGGGGAAGCCAGACACCAGCTCTGTGGTCAGGACATGCTTGCTGCACAGTTCATCCACTACTCTCGGGACATAAAAGAAGGGGTGGTCTTTCAGCAGCTCCCTAGGGGATGGAGAAAGGAGAGGAAAAGGTTAGGAGCCCTCAGAGCAGCCTGGCCACTCTGCAACACCTTGCTCAGCACATAGCCCCTTCATACAACTTCTCCCTGCACCCTGGCTGTGGCTGCCAGGACCAGTTTTCCTCAGCAGTTACAGTAGGGACCAAGTCACCAGAAACCATGCCAGTGACTTACAGCTGCTGCTGGCTCCTGAGGTCACATCTCCTGCCAGAGCAGTGACATTAAGGAGGGCTCCAGGCTGATGCATCAAGGGGCACTGGGCCTCTCTGCTCACCCACTTCGCTTCAGGGCCAGACTACACACATGGAAGAAACAGGCCTTTTCCAAGGGGAGCAATGTCATAGGGGCAGTTCTGCAGAGGGACAGGGAGCATCCAGCCACCAGCAGCTCTCTCTCATCCAGCTTTCGTGTAAAAACAATCTGGTCCCCACTGCTAAGGCAAGACAAGGGAGCAGGTAGTGCTGGTGGTGTTAATTGCTGTAAGAGAGCTGAACTGAAAAACCTCCTAGACCAAAGGATGGGAGAAGTTTACAACAGGCTGACATAAGAGTACACAGAACAGCACTGCAACCTGGCCTCAAGAGTTACTGTGGTACCTTCCCATGTGGTAACTCTGGCCTCAAGAGTTACTGTGGTACCTTCCCATGTGGTAACTCTGGCCTCAAGAGTTATTGCAGTACCTTCACATGTGGTAAAACAGATAGGCTCGCACTGAAGGAGAGAAGATAGCAACCACCTGCCTCATCCCCATGCTTCAACAACAGCATCACATGAACACACACCCTTCCCCTACACACCTAGGCACCCATGTCCCACCCCAGGACATGGCATTCATCTCCCCACTGTCCCTGAAGTTAAGCAACCTCTCCTGTGTTTCACACACACACACGCAGATGGGAAGGGTTGAAGGCAATGGTGTGAACATACTGAAATTTCTTTGCACAGGCAGCTTCTCTCTGGTAGTCACACTCCAGGGCCAGTTCTCTGCTCAGGACTTCAATCAAATGCTCAGGGAACAAACCTGAAAGTCAAACAGCAGAGAAGAGAGTAGGCTTAGCAAAAAAAAAAAAAAAAAAAAAAAAAAAAGAGCCCCTCAGGCCTAGCTTTCCAGAGCTGCAGCTGAGGAGCAGCCTGCTATCCAGCCAGCTCTGAGCTGAAGAGTACAAAAGGCCCCAGAGAACCAAAGCATATTTCCAACTAGATACAGGTTCTGCAGGTAATCCCAGGCCAACTCTATGCAGCTGCTCCTAAAGCAAGGTACATTCACATCGTTCTTGTACATTAGGGCTCTGTCTGCCCCCAGCTCCCACCCCACAGCCCAAGCTGTCAGTTCCTGATATTGGCATGGCTGTGCAGGGACACACACCAAGGAGTAGAAGCACCCAAACACTAGCCTGGGCAAAAGCAGCACAAAAGGCTCCAAACCATATCTGCCTACAACTGGGAGCAGGCACTGCCATGCAGAAACAGTCAGCATGACTAAGACAGTGAACTGCAGCAGCACATAGCCAGAGCCCAAGTTGCCAAGTCCAGTCTTCTCCATCTTGGAGCTGGAAAACTAATCTTCTACTTGGGCCAGACATGGCTGGGACTGCAGCAGCCCCTGCAGGGCCCTGCCCAGCCATCACAGACAACAGTCCCAGGTTTTGTCAGCACCCAGCCTAATTTTAAAGCAGTATTTGTACAGTTCCACTAAGATTTACAGCTGCTACAGGCAGATATTTGGAAAAAAAAGGAGCAGTAAGTCCTGCATTCCCTGTGGGAAAAGGGACTTATCTGTGTGCTGGGACACTGAGCAAGCTCCAAGTCTGACAGTTCTCCACCTCTCCACAACTGTGGGAAGACCAGAGAATGATTGGGAAGAGCAGAGAATGGCAAGCATGGAGGGGTACAGGACACATGGAGAAGAATGAGTTCTGCCAAATGTACCAGAAAATAACAGGGACAAAGCAAGACTACCTAACCTGAACACTGCCCACACTTCATGCCTAGAAAGCCATCAAAAGTGAGTATACCCAGACACTTTATACTTTGCCAAGAGTCCCTATGGGTCCTTTACTATAAGGAGTGCACAGAGACAAGCGCACATTACTCGTGGCCAGGAAAAACCCACACAGGTGCACTTCCCACCCCACTGAGTGGATACTGGAGCAGGCACGTGCCCAGCAAAAGCAGTGGCAGCTCTGCAGCAGGAGAGGGAAGGAGAGCACAGCTCCCCAGGTTGGCCACATCCACTACCTCTCCCGCTTTCTGCAGGAGATCTGCTCCTGGGCAGACTTAGCAATTCCTAAGTCCTTTTCACTGCTTCCTTGAGGCTGTTTCCTCCCTCCAGTCTATGGAGAGAAGTATGCAATGCACTGCTTGAAAGGGGTTGGCAGAGCTCAACATGTGCCAGCAGGAACACAGGGCCTGCCAAGGGTCTCCATCTTTTTACCTTCAGGGAGAATATTGCTCATGCTCAAGACAGTCATCAGGTTGTTAACATCACTGTTGATGCTCTGGGCGACTCCGGGGTACTGCAGAACAGAATGGGAGAGGGCAGTGTTGAGACTAGATGACCAGGTTGTAGAGAGTACGATAAAAACACCTTCCAGCTCAACATCCACCGACACCCACAACACAGGCACCTACAGCCTGGCCATGAACCAGGGCATACCTGAGCAACACACCCCTCCTCTAAAAACTTATTTAAAGCCGTGCATCTAAAATGGGACAGAGAGACAGGCTAAGATGCAGCTCCTTGCAATGGAATGCCTGTTCATGTCCTCTGACAGAGACTCTTCCAACACATGAAAGGTTCTCAGACACACAAATCTCACGACAGAGGTGGCAGTCATTTCCCTACCACGGCTGAAAGCACATGCCACTGACAGCCCCAGAGCATTACATCCACAGCGGCAGGGCAAGCAGTGAGGCCCCAGCCCAGTCCTGGCAAAGGTTCCTCCTGTTCTTTCTCACCTTGTCCGTCAAGAAGGGAACCAGCCTATACTGCTGTGGAGCAGAATGCATGCTGATGCTACAGGATTAACTTTCCATTGCTTTTACCTTAGCCTAACTTCAGAGAGTACTTTGGACACAAATGGCTTGAGAAGATGACACCAGTACCCAGCCATACTGTTTCTAAAGTCTCCCCACTTTATTAAAAACACCAACCAGATGACCAACTTTGCCTGGGACCCTGCTCAGTCAGCAAGGGATCCCACTCCTTTGGATTCTAAACCATGTTGTGCAAGGGGTTTCAGCTCCAGAACTCAATTCGGTTAGAAATACCTACTTGAAGTTGCTGACAGCTTTAGTGTGAGTTGAATAGCCTCCTGCACCATCAGACTGCCATTGCTCAACAGTCAGTGCCACCTGCTTGTCACTTAAAACTTCTTTAACCTTTGGGCTGTGGCCAGAAAGGGGCATGTGGCATGTGCACATCCCAGAGAGGGGACTGACCTATGGAGCAGGTAGGACCTTCGCACACAGCCCTAAGAGCACAAGCAGTCCCTCACCACCATTATCCCCACGCTGCAGTGCTATACCTATGAGATGACTGCCGCCCATCTGGAGTCAGAGACTGGCTCGAGCTGCAAGTTTTCTGTCCCTCCCTTCTGCTTGCACTAGGCACAATATTGCTGGACCCAAATTTTCACTTGCATTAAAATGTTCCTTATCTGTCTAGCAGTAAACACACATATGCAGCTCCCCTGCCCTTCTGTGGGGCACAGACAAGAGACAAGGCTGGTCTCTAAAGCCCACCTGGATTTTCATGGCAACTTCTTTCCCATTTTTCAAGCGTGCCAGGTGAACCTGACCAATTGAAGCAGCAGCAAAGGGGCGTTCTTCAAAGGACTCCAGTTTATCCCTCCAGTTGGGGCCAAGATCGTTGTTCAGAGTTTTCTACAAATAAAAAGAAAGCATCAGGGTACAGGAAGCAAAGATCTAAGATTTTCGCTATTGGAAATCACATTCCTCTAATGTGACTCACACAGCCTATAGTAGTTCTGAGTACCTACACCCTGCTTACTAGATTGTCCTCCCTTCCTCATCATTGCACACCGTTGCGAGGAGTGGTCCAGCCAGCAGTGCTCCCCCAGCACTAAACAGATGCTGACCAGATCTGTGTGAGGCTCTGTTGCTCTGGCCTAAATTAGCACAAACACCACTGCCTTAGCAATAGAAAAGTCCTCTTTTTGGTGCCACTTGTTATCTTCTAGAAAACAAGCAAGGAGTTAGATATTTCTCCTCTTTCATCATGCTGCCAAGCTGAATAGAAGCAATCCAGACATGCAAGAATGACTCTCTTTAAGGCAATATTGACAATTAAACACCACAGCCTGCTTTAACAGCTTTTTTGCTACAATGCCAGACTGCCATATTTAAGTTCTGGCTCTGCTCAGTGTTCTCCAGAAGATAAGTAGTTCTGGCAGTTCCTTTTGCATCACCCTTCACATCTTAATTTACAGAGGAAAGTAGAGAGAAAGAAAGAGCATGTACACTGGGGAAAGCAAACTTAGTTTGCTTCATTCTGGCTCTTCTTGATGGTGGGTCAGATTTAACCAAAAAAGTAAAGGGCAAAGTTGCTGTTAAATTTTCCATCAGACTAAGGCTTATAAGTCTGTTTCTAAAGTGAGATATAGGCACTTCTAGACACTTAACATCCCTGACACTTCTAGACACTTAACAGGCTTAACATCCTTGAGAAAGATGAGAGAGAGGAAACAGAAGAGGTGGCTACATTCAACAAGACCCAATAATCATATTCATATGCAGCATCCTGTTCCATCAGTATAGTCTCAGGACATAAAAAAAAACCCCAAACACATTTTTCCCTGTGTCTAGAACATAGAGCTTCAATGTTTTGGAGAGAAATGGCAGCACATGATTGAAATAAGGAATCAGATGTTACCCACAATTGAAAATAAGCAACAGTTATTGAAAGAATACTCTTAAAATCCACATCCACCTCCCTTACTGGGGTATGCCACAGGTGATATTTATTTTGTTATTGTCCCTCCTCCCCTGATAAGCAGAAGGGAATATTCCTCACCATCATCTGCTTTATCGGCATGAAGTCAGCACTCTGACGTACACGCTCAAAAATCCTCTGGAGATGGGGATTGATGAAGGCATCATCTGCCAAGGGAAAAGTACACGGCAATCAGCTCAGGCACTGCATTCTCCAGTTGTTCTTCAGCAAAAAAAGAAACTTGCACCTGCATTCAGACAAGCCAGGTTGGACTGTCCCCAAGCACACCCCAGTGAAGGTTTTGGAAATAACTCCAGTTCAGAAACTCCATATCCAGAAGTAGCACCTGAGGCATCACACCTTTACAAATGAGACAAACAGAAACCCTGTGCACAAGTAGCAAAATAAAAGGAAAAAAGCTACTCCTTCCTTTTCACTCTGGCAAAAAACCTGCGTATTACCCAAACATCTCCTAAGCCACCCTCCTGCTGCAGCAGCAGAAAGTTTCTGTGCACCCCCTCCCAATTACCAAGGGAAAGACAAAGTATGAATACACTAGAAGGCATGCTGAGAAGCTTTTTATACTTTGGAATCAAGCATCAGTTGTCATCGTGCTCCCTGGCTTTGTCCAGCAGCATTGCCAAGAGCAGCGGGCAGCTCCGCACAGCACAGAGGCTTTCGGTGTGATGGCACGTTGCACAAACCCAAGAGCAGAGTGCTCTGCACAAGCCTCTGTCATCCACCAGCCCATCTTCTTGCTGACAACAGTACAGCATTCAGGTCTAAGAGAGGACACTATGTCATGGAAACACAGGTCACAGAAGGAACCCTCTGGAGAGTCATCCCAACGTTCCCAGGTTCATAGCATGGTTTACTCCAGTTCATTCTAAGGGGCAGCAGCTTCTCTAGAAAACTGTGCAATGGTAAAACACCACTTACGCAAGCACTGAACTCAGAGAAATCAAGATTCAGCATCTGCTACTGTAAACAACTACCCAAATGCAAAGCAACTACAAGTGGGCAGAAGAAAACACAGCTGAGCCAAAAGTAAGTTATTTTAAGAGTCAGAAGGATTTAGGAAGTAAATATTTACACTCGTAAGAAAGAGGAGGGCTAGGAGCGTCTTGAAAGATTAGTCCTCTCCTTTGAGCAAAGGCTTTACAACAGCTCAAAGAAAAGCCACCAGTTCTGGCAAACTTTTCATTTCATAAAGGATTATAGATGAATTAGATTTATCTGCTGCTCTCCCAGCACTGGAAAAGTCCAGGCTACCAGCCTTAATCTTGAGAACTCAACCTGCAAATGCACTTGTGACAGTCAAATAAAAATCTCTCATTCCTCTGCATTTACAGATGCATGTACAGCCATAAGTCTATCCCAGGAAACAAACAGCTACCTTAAGAGCACTGTCCTGGGAAGAGGGGCGGAAAGGAATGGCGAGAGAAAGATAAATAATGCAGAGACATGACATTAACACTCAGCATTGTTTAGAAATTCCCACTGAAGCCATGAGCAGCATTTAAAAGGACTACCAAAACCCCACTGTGGAATGAACAGTTTTTAAGACAAGCTCCCATTCCGTCACTGCAAGTCAGAGATTAACAGGCTTTGCAGGAACAGCAAGTAAAACTCCCGTTGTGACGTTATAGCCCTACAAGAAGGCTAGGCGTTGCATTTGTGTGTGCATTCCAGACACTGAAAGAAAGTTCTGCTCTGTCATTGATGGCGTATTGCTGCCAAGCCTCTGAACATTATAAAAACTATTCCCAGGGGTATGTGAAAGTGTTAACCATCATGCTGTAACATGATAACCTGCACCTCCTAGGATGACTGTGCAGAAAGAGAATGGACCTCACTAAAAGTGACTCCTGCTCCCAGAAGCCATTTGTGTTAAGGTATCAGGGTCTGCCACAGGCATTTAGGATCAACTTCTGTGATTTTGCTTATTGCTGACATCCAAAAAACTCACAAGGTATTTCAACCTTTAGTCTGAGAGGGCATTCTTAACTGGGGCTGCTTGACCACCACTGCTTTGTTCATGAGCGCAATGCCAAATAGCCAAGAAACCTGCAAGTCCAGATCGACTGTACAGAAACTCAGCAGCAACATTAAAAATCAGTCATGCTGTGGAGCCAACTGACAAAATGAGGCTTACAACATGCTGATGAATAAGGTTATACGTCTTTGTGGTAAACTGAGGTGGCCTTACCAGGAATAAAACACAAAGCAAGAGTCAAGGCAGGGCACTCTCAACTGGCAAACGCAACTGCCTTTCCAACATCTTCCAGAGCACATGCGTCAGAACACGGGATGATTTTGAGCCCTTGGCATCCTTTCAATCCCTCAGCATGACCTTCAGGGATGTGGGTCCCTAACAAATCCACTGACTCCCAGAAGCAGACATCAGGGTTTTTAAGGACAGTGCTTCGTAACTTCTGGGTGGTTTAGCTCACAGGTGCTCTACTGCACCTGGACAAGGCAACACGGAGCCCCTGTGCTCAATTAGCACACATCCCTGTTAATAGAAGGAGCCAATTCAAATTCACCAGGCCACAGAAAAGCCCACAAAGTGGCAGGAACTGTGTGAAACCCTCCTGTCCAAACAGCCAGCCCAAGAGCTCAAAACTCTGCACTGTTGGAAGTGTCTTACTTATTTCACCGCAACTGTCCCCCAGCAAGGTTACCAGGGGCCTATGTTCTCGCCAGGCATTGCAGCACTCCAGGGACTCGTCGTAAGAGCTAAGTGAGAGCTGGGCAGCACCACTGAGGTTGCTGAAGGCCTGTATGTTCTTTACACCAAAGTGAAGTCAGTCAGCAAGTGTTTGACACTCCTGCCAGAGCTCAGTAACATTAAGAGACAGCAGGCAAGTGACAAAATCCAGAGCATTTCTGCTCCTCAGAGCTGGTCTTCGACAGCTATTCCTTCTTCACTCACATCCACACCAGGTGCAACTCAATAGTGTTCCAAGAATCTTAAATTAATCCCCACCTATGGTAGACAAGTTAACTTCAGAGCTGATTTCCAGACATGGCTCACTCATCCCACATACCAGAGGCACTGGCCACAGCAAGCAAGGAGGACAAGCGCTCCTGCTGGATCTGCACTGTGAGCCATCAGTCTTTGGCACCTGGCACTTTTGAGAGTGAGAACAGCATATGGGTGGCAGCTTTTGACACAGCAGCTGCTGCCTCCCACCTAGGTTTGTTAAAATTGCTATCAGCCTGGCATGCACCTAAACCAAGTGATTAGCAAATGAACAACGTGAAATGCCAGAGTCGGAGATCTCTGGAACTGGGAGCTGGTCTTGCTTTATTGGCTAGCCCAAGTTATTTAATACCATACTAGATCCAGCCTCATCAGTCAACACCTACAAAAATTCAAGTAGAAGCACAAGCCAAGCAAGCCAAGTACTTCAAACATTCAGACACTGACTCAGTTTCAGAGCCATCTTGAAAGCTATTTCCAGACAAGTGTAACAGCTATTTTTGGCTGGTTCTTCCTTCCCTATCACGTTGGGCAGGAAGGTGAAGTGGATAGGTCCAGATAAGGTCTGAATTCAGCACACCTTCTATCTCCCAGGGGTAACCTAACAGTTCAGTGCAGATACTAATGTCTCTCATGCCTTCACCTGTGTTCACTGACTTCAGAGCCTGATGGAGTAAGTACCAGTTTGAAGTCTCCTCAAGATGAAAACAAGTGTTTTATACCTGATAAGATTATCAGCTGTACTGGCCTTTCCAGCAAAGCATGTAAACCACAAACAGGTTGCTATAATGGGAGAGGGCTGTGGATATAACCTTGACCACTTTTGGTGAACAAAGAACAGGATCATGTTCTTGCCATCGTCCTCCTTTCTAGCAGGACAACTGCATGTAGAGTGTGATGTAGCTCTGCTTCTCAACAATTGCTTTTAACATAGGCATTAAAATTCACACAGTGCCACCTTATTTTCAACCAGTTTCATTTGTGTGCCTGACACAATAGGGACAGTGGGAAAGTAGTGGTATATAGTGCACACATCTAGTTATTTGACACTGGGATTAGACTGAACTGAATCAAACATATCTCCATCACTGCTCTCACATAAGAAAGCCATTTGTGCAGTCTCTCCATATTCATTTGATGCTGATTCCAGACAACTGACCGTGTATCACAAGAAGTCAACTGCCCCTGGCAGCACTAAGGGGGATAGCTGAGGACCTATGTTACCACTTACCTTGAATGCTTAACATCTGTCCCAGCTTCAGTGCCGCTCCCCGGACCTTGCACAAGGTTCTCACGATTCTTTCTGCATTGGCCTCCGACAGGAATGGGCTAGAATCCATCACTGCTTTCTTTCCTGAGGGCAAGGAGAGAAAGTGTATGGATGAACACCACCCTTATCTCAGCAAGCTCACTTCATCATGTTAGCCCACATTCAACAAGAGATCTGCCCTTCCCCAGAGAAATCAAACTAGGAGTACACTCAAAGCCTTCACTGCAACCCAGGGGCATGGACTGAAGTTGTACGCGTATCTTGTGACCACTTTGACATTGCTGGCTGGAGGGCCAACGGCAGCAAGTCACAGCTGCCATGAATGTCTATGCTGCTACGCACTGTCCAGGATCCTGGGCAGATGTTGGTGCTTGAACTCACTGTACCAGCTAGCTCAGCCTAAAACACTACATAAAGGTCTCCTAAGTCCCACACCATAGGCTGCAGCATAGCCATAGCCTCAGAAGAACAGTAGGAGTGAGCCACAGCAAGAAGGAATTGTCAAAAGCCTTGACAACACACTGGCATAGCAGACTGAGAATGTGCTGCTTAGCACTTCTTAGGGTAGAAGCAAGGATTCACACCAGTACCAAACCTCTTTTCTCATACCAAATAATTCTTGCCTGAAACACCTATGTTCATACACAAACACATATTACTGTGCAATTGCATGTCCAGAGCGTGCACTAGAAATCCATAGAGACCAGACAAAGCTTTCACATCTCCAAGTCCACAATAACTTTTTATATCAAGCTGAAATTTACTGTCCTGATGCACAGGCAAAACAAACTCTCCTAACACCATAACCCCAAAACACCATGGCTACATATAGCATTTCGAAAAAGCAGCAGATTGCAAATCTGTGATGAGGGTAATCAAGCTAGTCAAATCCAGGGAGGCTGGAGATAGTCCTCAAAGGAGAAGCACAGCAGGAGCTCTCATCTGTGACACCATGCTCTTGGACAATCGTGCTGGAGGGGAAATTGATTCCCGTTGTCAAGATCGCCAACCTTTTTCCCCTCTTACATCCTCTCACATGCATGGTGTTCCTTGCCACGTTCTTATGGGCAGCTTGCTACTGAGAAAGATGCTGCCTTTAGACAGAAGAACATTTCAATGTAGCTAGTCACTTGTTCTGACTGCATTAGAGGCCATGCAGGGAGGAAGCCAAACCCTTCTGTCCTTACTCTCATCAGCAGCCATGCAAGCATCAGCTTGCACAGAACAAGGCCCAAAATATACATACTGATACAAACACATTTCTGTCCCCAAGAACAGGTAAAGCCTGATGTCTGACAGGCTCACTAAGTGGTCATTGCAGCCATCAACACACCAGTACCACAGTTTCAAGTATGCAACATGCTTTTTATGTGGCATAAGAAGCACTAAGGGAGAGGGAAGGAGACCCTGATTCCATTTTCTGGTCCCTTTGGGAGAAGCAACCCAAAACTCCTTCTCCAGGGTGATGCGCAGTAGAGCAGGGACAGAGGGGGCAAGCAGGCACCCGCCAACTACTTCTCTTGGGGCTACAGATCAGCTCCTGCTGATGGACAGCCAAGCAGGAGGAAGGTCAGGTCTTCCAGCCAGGCTGCAGGGCCCACAGCTGGTATGCTGATCTTGGAGCTACACTATTTTTTTCAACACTTCAGAGGAAAGGGTACTAAGTACAGAACAGCTGAAGCCCCCACATACAACAAGCAGGGCCCAAAAAGGCACAGCAGCTGCAACAGTCCTAAAGATCTCAGGCAGATGGAAATTACTGGTGTGTCATGTAGTGCCTACCACAGCAAGAGATCCTCTCCATCTCCAGCTAGCTCTCAGGAAGGTATACAAAGGGAGCTTAGACTGGTCAGGGGACAGGAAAAAGAACCAAGATTCAGACTGAAGTAGCCACTGTCTAACTCTGGTGGCTCACACAACTTGGTACCACTTCCTTGAGGTGCTAAGCATGCTACTGGTCTGACAGACACCCTTCAGCCCCTGCAAGCAGCTGGCTTGCTTACAAAGCTCTCCCTAGAGAAGTGATACCACTGAACTCTCCACTGGCAGTGCACAGAGGCACCAAGCCCTGCCCTCCCCTGTCCTTCAGCCCCCCTCTCTCTCCTTTACCCATTTTGTGGGAGAGCAGCAAGATGGCACTGCATGGGGGACATCTATCCGTACAAATCCCCGTCCTAAGTAACGAATGTACGTAAAAAGGAGAGAGGAATAAAAACACCAGGAAGGAGTACACAGGACAACTATCCTTCTCTTGAGAGCAGGATGCAGAAAAGGAGAGGCCGAGAAGTCATCATTTGCATCCCACACAGCAACCCTGAGAGCACATTTTGCTCTGGATCCTGGATGTAAGGAGTCTGAGAGACTGAATAGGTAGATGCCCAGTGCAGAAGGATCTGGCTTTGCACACTTGAACAGCTGGCTCTGGAGAGTGGAGTGCTTGCAGCCATCTATCAGAGCTCTGGCTCTCACTGATCCCATCTCAACTGTCCCATCAGAAAAACAACATCAAAGCCTTACCTTCCTTCACACCACCTGCACATAAAAACATCCTCCTTTGAGGCTACAGCAGGATAAAGGAGTTAGTTAATGATTAAAGTCACCTCCAGAAGCCAATGAACCCTGACAATTTTACAACAGTCTTATCAGTGAAAGAGCCAAACACAGGCACTCCCCATCCTCTTCTCCTGGTGTGCTTCTCATTGAAGTCAAGCCCACAGGGGCACTACCTGATCACTAGGCAGCCCAACAGCACCTGGTCAGCTGTTGCTTTATGTACTTTGCTAAAAGTGGACATGAAGAAGGTGACCTGGAAGCAAGAGTCAAAAGCGGGATTATGTAAATGGCAAGCGGAGAGAAAACAGACATAGGCTTCCAAGGCTAGTGGAAAGGAAGTGAGGATAAAACCCAGCACAAGTTCATGAAGAAATATGCCAATTTTCTGCAAGCTAACATTGTTCCCAAAGATGGCTGGCAACTTTTGATGCTACAAACGATTTCCTCCCCATCTTAAGATCACAAAGTTATTTTGGTTTGTGTTGGGTTTTTTTGTTGTTTCACCTACTTCATCAAGGAACCAAAAAAAGGCAAATAGAAGTCACACCTAAACAAGCTGTGGCAACAAGGAGACCTCAGAAGCAAAGGCTCATGCAGCCACAGCGCCTGGAGCCTGTCAGCTCTTCCACAGCAGATGCAGCAGGCAGATGCCCTCAGGAGTGCTCGACCCACGTTTTCCTTTCCAAATCCAGAATCAGCATGAACCCTTCCAAATCTGTGTGCATCTCGTAGCTGTATCGCTGCTTTTCCACCTCCTTTCCAACTGTCAAATAGAGAACTAGCCACTGGACTTTGTGTATATTTGTTTTTAGGACCATCTGCCGCACAAACTTTAGGACAAGGGAATAGTCAAGAACCTAGCCTAAGCACTTAGGACTGACAACTCCAGGAGACTGCATTACTGCTTTTCATTAGGAAACAACTCTACATTCAAACCTAGGCCAGCTGCCAGCCCATTGGGGCTCTGCCCAGCCTGGCATTTGCACAGTGCCTAGTAGAACGGCCAGGTACAGGTCATTAATAAGTTACAAAGTTGACCTTGAACCCAGAGTCTCTTTATTAGTAATGGTGGCTGTTTATCTGGACACTCCTTCATTTTTATTTCTGGAAATTTATTCTACCCTCCCATTCCCACCCCATGTCAGCCTTGCACTTTAGATACACACTCTAAATATTGAGACTGCCATCAAGGTCACCAGTGACCAAGAAGGTTATTTTTAATTAGCTACATCAGCCTACCAAGAAAATTCCCACTAGAAATCAAGTGCAGCCATCCTCTCTTTGAAAAAAATAAGATGAGCCAAACCACTTATTAAAGAACTTAGAGGGCAGCATTAGGCTCTCAAAAAAAAACCCAAAAAACAAAAAAAACCAAAAAAACCCCCACACCCACAAAACAAAAACCACAAAAAAAAAAAAAGCCAAAAGCACCCCACCTGCACCTACTCACAGGAATTTGGCAGTGGAAAAAATTTAAGTCCAGGACATCAGGCTTGGATGGAGAAGGGAAAAATTCACAAACTCTTGCACCAGACCTTTTTGTTCTATGATAAATCCCTTAAGAAGTGAATTGTTTATGGAAACAGAGACAACCCGAGGCAGAGAGAAAAGGGCCCTGCAGCTACTAAACAAGGATGGGGAAATTGAGCAGGAAAAGACAGATCAGCACTAGCGCAGTTGCTAGAGAACATGCAGGAGAGTAAGTATTTGTCATCCTTCTGTTTGACAACAGCAATGGAAAGAAGTACATGCCATGCTACTAGGATCACTTGTATCTCAGGAGTTTGTGTCTTGCAGTTTTGTGACTGAAGGATCAGTGCTTCTAACTCCATTTTAAAGCTGTGAAGACACTTTCATTTGTACTGACTGGACAAGAGGACAGTAACCAAGAGAAGGCTCTTTCCTGTCACTTCCTGGATGCCAGTGAGAGCGTGAAATTCTCAGGCATGCCTTTGGGCATATACACATCCCACTTGTTTAAGTTTGAAGTGCCAAGAAGTTAATATTAATATTGCAGCAATGGGGAGAGAGAAAAGACATCCTCTACCAACTTCCAGAGAACAGGACAGTATGTCATTCTCAACAGAGACAGGTCTTAACCCAAGCTTATGGTGCTGGCAGCCAGAAAACTTGGACACAAATGCCTCAATCTGAAATCATGAAAGGGGTGCAGAGGTATTTTTAAAGAAATGTAGAGGTACCTATGTCAAGGGATTTCCCCCCAAAACAACTAAGGCTGTTACTGCCAGAACAGTAAGAAAATGGGATTTTGGACTCAAAACCCTGTACATATCCTCTGCCATGCATTTCTGCAGGAGCAGAGCCCATGGAGTGAGTTCTCATCATGGAGCCTTACCCACCACTGTAAAATCCTGTGGAAAATACATCCAAGGACACTAGCTAGATGCTGTAGCTCAGTCACCCAGAGACTTTCCTGTGTCCTTGGCCTTTGAAGCTCCAAGAGAGTCTGACAGTTGAAATAGTCTTTTACTTCAGCTTCACCTCAGTACTTGCTGCTCGTAGCCCTTTCTCAGTCCCACTACCCTTCTCCTTTACAGTGTAACCACTGCTCCAAGCTCTTATCTAAGCAGACTTGACAGCAAGAGAGGAAGCAAGAACAAAAGCAAGACAGCCAAAAATAAAAGCCAGGCCATTTTCTAACTCCCTTGCCTAGCATCGAAGTCAGCAGCCCTCATTGCCTTATTCTTTAATCAAGGTTTGTTCAAGAAAATTACTCTTCCCAAAGCATGACTCAGGCTGCAGAGCAGGCTTCTGGCACCAAGTTACAGTTACAGGGGAAAATAAAATTCTTCTAGCAAGAAGAAAAAAATCGGAAGGTGCAATTGCTTTATTGCAAGGAAAAAGTGTCTGTTGCCCTCTAAAGAATCCTTTCTCAAGCTGTAAGGAAGAGAAACAAAGCTCATGTTATTCCCTCAAATTTCATAGGTCTGCAAGCTCATGTTTTTACTTTGGGGTGTGCCCAATTAGAAAATAATCTGGCAAGCAGAGAAATACCAATGGTTGTGCAATTCCTCCTCTGTTAAACGCAAAGCAAATCATCAACTTCCAACAGGTATGAACAACCTGTCAAACATCACAAGCACTGAAAGCAAGCACCTTCAAGGATTCTCTACAGGAGTGGCCATGTTTGCCTGAATGCATGCTTTTAAATCAAAGCAAAGAAACCCACCCAGCCTCAAACACCTCAGGTCATGGAGAGAAACAACTCTTTGCCAAGGATCCTTTTTCTCTGCTGAGCTGCTCTGCATTGCCTAGTTGTACAGGGAATACAAAGATGCAAGCATTAACAAGTACTGCCCTGGGTGCCACACGACCCCTCCCTTGCCCCTGTCCCTCCACCACAGGGAATGTGTCCAAGTTTTCTGGCTGCCAGCACCATAAGCTTGGATTAAGACCTGTCTCTGTTGAGAATGACATACTGTCCTGTTCTCTGGAAGCTGGTAGATGTCTTTTCTCTCCCCACTGCTGCAATATTAACAAAGTCTTCAGACATAACAGTTCATCCACAGTTTCTGTACTGATAGAACTACATGGTTTCACTGAACAGTTTAAAAAAGATTGTTAGGCCAAGACAATCCAACAGCAGGCACAGGTATAGTATTCAGACTCATGGGTGGCTGTGGGAAAGCAAGCTGTAGGAATTGTGCTGGCATAAGCTCATTGTCTCACATATACCTCTGACTTCTGTCTATGTAGTGAGGTTGCGGTGTACTTAGAAGAAGAGCCTGGAGGTGGAGAAGGTTTGTTAAAAATAAAAGAACTGCCCACATCCCCCTGTTATTCAGACTGCCTCACCATCCCAACTTTCAAAAGAATAAAAACTTGTAAATGCAGGTAAACTGTGTCTGGGAAATTAAAAAAAAGGGGCAGGGGAGGGCAGGTGGGAAGAAAAGGATGAGAATGTAGAAAGGGTTTACCATTGCGTTCCTCAGGTCTAAGGCTCTTCTTTGCAACTTCTGCCAATGCCCCAATGCCAAGACCAACAGCTAGTCCTTTAAAATAAGAAGAAAAAGACCCAGGTCAGAATTAAAAAACCTTGTGAGCCACATACACAGGCATTTTTGTAATTACCTTAAGCCACACAGTCAAATGCACAGCAGCAAAACAGCTTGATTAGAACATCCTGGCTTTTGCAATGGAGTCATCTTCCAAGTTTGACACTGAACTGTTTTCTCCTGTACTTCAGCTCAGCATGCCAGCCAGGTCTCAGAGGCTAGACCAGTCCGGGATGTCTGGCTCAATAAGGCACATCAACAAGCGCTACTCGGAGCTCTGTGCTCTGGCTGAGGTCCTGCCATAGACTCAAATCATGGGGTTTAGAAGAGAGGAGGAAGAAAGCTCACAAACGTGGTTCTCGAAGTACAATTCTCAGTAAAGAACAGAATCCTCCTCACCCCCCACCGTGCTACCACAGCAGGGGGAAGCAAAACTGCATTTAGATGAAGCCACTGCCAGTAGAGTTTAGTGCTCTGTGAGCCTACTGTCTAAGCATTCAGGTATATTTATGCTCATTAGCTGTCTTTGACTTCTACATGCTCATTGACTATGATGAACAGAAGCACATTTTTGCTGAGGCCCACCTAATCCAAGCAGTGTTGTAACCTGCAATTCCAAGGAGCTGTGCTGGGAAGTAACCTCACAACAGAAAGACCACAAGACCAAACACCAGCACCCCACGTGCACTATCACCCTTGCAAGCAGTGAATTCTAGGGCGTTGTCTCACAGCCACAGATTAAGCTACAACTACAAAAGAAGCGTCATCTGCCTCCCCTAACCTGACCAAAGACACCGAAGATTAAATGAGACACAGATCTAATCATGCAGTAATCCGTATTACCCAGGGTCTCATTGCCTTCTCAATTTTGAAATATTTTCTGGATTATAAACGACATGGGCAAGCAGAACAGCTGGTGCTCCCTCAAAGCTCCTCAGCAATGGTGCATCCCCCCCCCATGCCTTACTCCCACACCACTAGGAGTACTGAGCGTGCATCTTTTCCAAGCACCCCAAGCCCACCGTGAGGCATTACTGGACAGCTTCCCAGGTAAAACAACCATGGGACACAGGCAGTACAATGCAGGCAGCATAGCTGACCAGCCCATGGCATTTTGCGCATGTGCACGGAAGGAAACGCATGCACATGTTTTGTATTCTCAAGCGAGGAAGCCTGGGCACAAACAAGTTAAACCCCGTCTTGCATTGAGCTTTTCCTCTCTCCCACCAGTTAATGACAACCCTGCCTCTGCCAGTAAAACTTCAAACTTGCACGGTACGTCTGCTTCAGAAACAGCTCTATCTGCAGTCTTGCAGACTACGTGCACTGGGCCAAAGAATCCAGCATAAGGTGAAGCACAGGAGGCATCAGTGACATTACAAGCCCTTCACAAGGACTGCTTCTGGGGCTGCTTCCATGCCATTTAACTGGCAGGCAACCTTTCATGCTCCATTGCATGTGAATGTTTAAGAGCATATGGCATAATACAGAAATCTACATTCAGAAAAAAATGTAACTTTTACAGGATACCATAATTTTAACATTATAATACTTAGAGTAAAAAGCCCTGATAATTGGTTTGGGTTTTTTTTTTGGGGGGGGGAGGGGGGAGCGGGTGGTGTTTGTTTTGGTTTGGTTTTTTTTATTTTTTATTTTTTAAGTTTTCCATATTTTTTGCAAGTTTTCCTATAATTTAAGCCTAAGGAAGCTAACTTGCGCAGACCCTTCAATAGGGCCAAGCCATGCATGACCACTGAGCAAGGCTTTTGCACCACAAACCCAGTGATGATATTAGCTGAACAAAGTGAGAAAAATATCTCTAGACTCCACAGGAAAGAAGCAAAGAGACTTTCCAAACACAGCATAAACACTATCTATTAAAACTCTGATAGACAGTCATCTCCAATTAGATCCCACATGCAAGACAGTAACGTGGAGCAGGAAGTACCGAGAGTCAGACAGGAAGCCAATGAAGATAGATCTCATCAACAAAATGTGATTTTATAGACTGAATACAACTCATGGTCTGTTGGCCCTGATCCCACTTTCACCACCTCCAAAGCAATGCTGCCCGTCAGAAATCAGCTTGGTCATTATCAGAGCTAGACTGAACTGGGCTGGTAGTAATTGGTTCCGAATTAAATACATTGCATCTCCTTCCAAGGGCTCTGTGTTCACTGTTGAGATTTACTGCCTGCACCTAAAATAAAACATATCTGAGTTTTCCAATCTCTCTTCATAATTAAGACACAAACCACTTCAAAGGCAAACAAAAGACTGGGAACCAGATTCTACTCTGTCTTCCAGCATAAAGCTGGAGAAGTTCTAGCATGCTCCAAAGCAGCTTGTGGTTTACATCAGGGTAGGCAAGATCAGACTCCAAACAAGTGTGTGTCACACCTCCCCTCTCATGGACGTACACAGCTGAGCATCTGAACTAAACCATATTGTAGACTACACTAGAAAAGGAGCTTCTCTTACAATAGGTGCTCTTAGAATTTGCTCACTGGTCCACTCTGTCCAATTTGCTAGAAAATGAACTCCAATCATCAGTCAACAACTGTTTCAAATAAACTAAAGCCAGGCATAAACAAGTTTACTGCTGAGGTTTAAAGATCTGCAGTTTAAACAAAGGCTTCAAGCATCTTCAAACTATAATCACAGTGCACAGCAGGATATTTAGCTCAGGGCATTACATGAAAATGCAACATTCCTACTTCAAGTCTTCAATAACTACCTGGAAACATCTCAGGGCATACGCAGCCCTGCTCTAAATGTGGTAGCAGGAGGGTAGATAATACTCTTGGGACCATGCAGGGTCAAGTGCATCTTGGGTGTTTGCTGCTTCTTAGCAGTCAAGCCTGCAAAAAATGAAGTCAGCTGTATATGTAACCTTCTATCACTAGGAAACAGGTAATAATTCAAAGTTGTATTTCTCATCGAAGCAATGCCAAAACTTGGACTTTTCCATGAACATCCAGGGCTTAGAAAAAGCTGCCACTTTTCAGAAGTCTCAGTTGCTCACTTTATTCCTTTGTTCTTACCAAGTTATTATCAGAACTATGAAATTAGGGAATTAAGTAGTGGCCTAAATTTCTCATGGCTGTAACTCCATCCACTAACATCAGTACTAGTGGTCAGTCTGACCATGAACTTCAGGAACATATTACCTTCTCCTTTACCAACTTGAATTTCATTCGCTGTGGCATTTGGAGCACACACAGCTCACACAACAAAAAACAGCGTGGAAAACTTCACCCTTCCTCATCTTACAAACCAGACTAACACTCTAGGGTTCAGAAAGCAAGTACTAGACAGAGGGTTCAGAGCCACAACACTCATTTCCTGAAACGCCACCAGATTTGTTTTCCAGGCCTCTTTTATACACCCACCCACCTGAAAGGCTGTGGTCTAGGCACATATTATTTGAACACAAATAATGCTGTATACTGGGTCTGGCTGAGACAGGAGTTAATTTTCTTCATAGCAGCCTGTGTCATGCTGTGTGTTGGATTTGTGACTAGAAGTGTTGATAACATACTGATGTTTTAGCTGTTGCTGGACAATGTCTGCACAGTGCCAAGGCTTTTTCTTTTTCCTACTCTGCCTCTGCAATGAGTAGGCTGGGTGTGGGCAAGAGGCTGGAAGGGGACACAGCTGATCCAAATCAAAGGGATATCTGTACCATATATCATGCTCAGCAGTAAAAGCTTGGAGAAAGAAGGATGAAGCGGGGGGGAGAAACCTTTGGGGTTAATGGTGTTTGCCTTCCCAAAGTAACTGCTACAGATGCTGAGGCCCTGCTTCCCAGGAAGCAGCCGGACATCTGCCTACCAATAGGGAGTAGTGAATTAATTCCTCTTACTGCTCTGCTTGCCCGTAGAGCTTTGCTTCACCTATTAAACTGTCTTTATCTCAAGACCCAAGTTTTCTCACTTTTGCTCTTCCTATTCCATCCTGCTGTGGGAGGAAACGAGTGAGCAGCCGCATGGGGCTTAGCTGCCAGCCAAGGTGAACCCACCACTCGCTGCCAGCCTTTCACCTGCTACCAGAAACAAGTCATCCCTCCAAAGAACCCACACAGCTGTGGAGAAGCACTCTCCTCCTCCAGGCCACTAATCTACTGTCCTTGCACAAGTCACTCCTGAATCCTTCATTTTCCTTGTCTGAAGGTGAGTATTTCCTCCAAGACTAATCATTTTGGGACAATTTTTAGTATAACTAAACAGCCACAGTTCAGCACTTTGGAAAATAACATCCCCAAGCACCTCTAGAAAGTCACACTCCTGCATTTTGCGCTTTATGCGGACAGATTATTTCAGGCCTGGAAAATGCCACTTGGTTTTTGTACCAGCAGAGTGCCTCTTCAGACATTTTCCAGGCACCTCCAGCACCCGTTACACTTTAAACCAAGCCCATCAAGAGATGATCTGGAATCACTTTTGTTCAGGAAGAATCCTCTTGCTCAGCAACTGACACAACAAAATAAACAGGAGACTGAATGGGCTGTTATCACTCCACTCAGCCTGCCAAGCGCAGGGGTGGGTGAGACTCTCCCCTGGAGCAGCCTGTGCCCTGGTTTTGGTCACGTCAAACACTGCTAGCACCCCACAGAACACGTTGCAAGCTGCAGACAGTTGTGCATCAATTTCTACTAGCTTTCTGAGCACTAAATGCTCACCAGAAGCAAGCCACGCTTACTTGTCACTTGCATGACAATCTGAATCCTGTAGTTGTCAGGCCTGTATATACTTTAATAACATACCTCAAGAAGCTAGCTTTTTTTTTCCCCCAAAATTGCTACAATCACATTAGATCTAGACTTCACTACAAGCTTCCTGAATTTTCTTTATTGCAAAAGGATCTTATTATATCATTAAAATAATAAACTTACAAACCAGGAATATGATTAAGGGTGACAGAAACTGCTTAGAAGAGTCAAATGATGCAAGGAAGGGAGAATGAAAATAAAGAAAAGATCAAGAACTGTGTGGGTGGAACTGATGACCCATCAGGCTACAAAACAATCATGAACAACAAACTGCAGAAAAATCTGTTTTACCAATTCTAATCCCAGGAAGAAAAAATAAACAAATAAAAATCAAGGATGATATTTAGTACTATAACTACAGCTACCAGCAGTCACTCCAGCTGCTGCAAGAAGCATACAAAAAACATATAAAGGACAAAGAAGTTCAGTAGAGGATCTTGTGCTGATTACAGAGAAACATTAGCTCAGTATTACAGGCAAGCATTGGAGAAAATGATCTTCAATTTTTCCAGCAAAATATTCTTTGCTCCCAGAAGAGGTGAGAAGCCACGCAAACTCTGCAGTCCAAGTATTTCTGCCTCCTGTTGCTAATTTGTCTATCGCCCACCAGAGTGTCCTGACACCCCAGCTGAGAGATCAACGTTACCTACAACATCACGGGGACAACAAAAAACATGCACAGGAGGAATGATTCAAGTGTGAATGGGATCACACCAATAGCATGGGAATTCAGCTATCCGAACCCCTGGAATAGTTACATGAACTCTGCTTTTGACCTACTCAATCCTTCCATCTTCTCCAAGTCTAAAATGATGTTCTTCTAATATGGAAATAAAGAAAAAAGTGGGGTTTATCCCACCAAGAAAAGTGAGAGTCTAATGCTAGTTTGGTGTGGAGGTGATAGGGGAAGAATCCACCTCAACCATTTTATTTCCCAGAATGATTTCCTGGTATCTTCAAATGAAGATGGCACCCCAAAGCACACAAGAAACAAATCATGCAGAAATAAAAAAAACTTACTTGCTTTAAGCTGCACTCCATCAGAGATATGGAGCAGCATCCTGCCCTTAATTATTTTCAACACAATGCAAAGAGGCAGCTGCTAGAGCAGGAAATAATCACACACACACCTCCCCACTATCTCCTATTTAATTCTGATCATTTGAATGTCCTAGGAAGCAAGGACAGAGCTGGGTCACTACTATTCCACAGGTTAACAGTGATGTCCCCTGCAAAGCAGCTCTTCCCTGCTGTTAACCATCATCCCTCCGCAGCAGCAGGTGCTCCTGAAAACCAATAACATAATTGGAGACTCATTAAATCATCCTACACCTTGTTTCTGACTTCCATTGAAAAGGCAAGACAAGAGAAAATGCATGAGAGAAAACACACACTGTGCAGGCACAGGGAAACTTCCAACCCACCTACCACTGAGCTTTGAAACACTTAGTTTACTTCAAACTTATCTTGCCTTCTCTAAAAGAAAAAAATGAATACATTAAGTTGGGTTGGATCTTAGGAAAGCACAAATCAATTCTCATCTCGGTTGGAAACTGCCTCCTATGCCCTCATGAGACTCCCTTAACCAGCCTCACTCTTCAGCTTGCAGGTATTTTTAGAACTAGTACCCGTTACATCTTGCATCATTCCTGAGAATAATACCCAGAAAGGACTGACAGTGAGGACAGTAAGTAGCTAGGAAAGGCATGCAAGTACTACCTTCCCCTGCTCACAGTCTAAGAGGAAAACAGTCAACCATAAGCCAAAGCTCATCAACAACTTCAGAGGAATCAAAAATGGGTAAAAGCGAACGGTACGCCACAGCTCTTGCCATCAGCTAATGTTTCATGGTTTAAGCATTTTAAATGCTTCATAAAGATGCAATTTGAAAAGAACATTTCTCATCAGGTAAGAGCCAGTCAGGAAAAGCCACACTAGAATTAGCTGATGGGGTTTCACAGTTGCAGTGGCTCTCTCAAGGCCATATGCAGGTCAGAAAAAACACTCTAAACTTGGAGCAAATAGCAAGCAGAAGCTGCTTGTCACTATAAATGGAGCTCCTCTTTCCATGCAGTTCTGGAGGCTGTTTAAAAGCTTCTATCAGTCTGGATCAAGATCTGACCATTAAGAAGTGCTCCTTACAGGCAGTCCTTTCCATGCAGGGCTGCCCACACTACTTCAGACTCACCACACCCTCAGAAACCTTCTTCAGGTATTACCCAGCCTACCAAAATATTACCAAGGGATTTCTTAAACTGGAAAAAACCTACCTATAGGCCGTATCTGTTGTTTGTTAGCCAGTGTACTGACAGTACTATTTCTCCTTGCTGTTCCAAGGAAAAATTCAGAGGGAAAGATAAGCAATGAATGCTAACAAGAGATTGCAGAGGCCTGAGAATCTGAACACCATTTGTACAACACAATGTCCCCCCAAAAGCAGTCTGAAGGCAAGAGCTCTATCTTGCCAGCAATTTCAATCACATAAAACAGACAACTGGAGAAGGCCAAGACCAAAAAATAGATGACACACACAGATACGACTGGGGATGCTGCTTATAAACAATTATTTCTTTCTTACTCTCCCTTTGTGGTTTTGGTTTGGTGGGGTTGTTTTGGTTTGGTTTTTGTTTTTGTTTTTTAACCTGAGGTTAGGAAGACAGGTAGTTATATTTCCCCTTGAAGCATGAGTCAGCCTTTCCTCACCAAACAGCCTTGGGTGCCAAGAGCTGGAGCATACAGCAACAGTACTGGAACTCAAAGCTCACAGAAAATTTGGTCATCTGCCACTTCATATCCACTAGCTGTCAGCAGGCAGCCACAGATAAATTCAGAAGATGACAGCTAAAAGTGCTGTGACACTTTCCATAAAAATCAAGGCTGGATTAGAATGGAGACTTCTATGCTACTACAGCTTAAAAACAAAGAGGTCAAGTGAGTTTTAAAGTGATGCCTGGTTACTCCAAAAAGCAGATCATGAATCCTGCTTCCCTTTACAGAGTACTAAGCACCCTGAGAAGCCAGAGCACCTGCAATGAACTACAGGGTTTAAAGAGACCTGACCAGGATTAAAACATTATGTTATCACAAAACTCACTTGCTCTTCATTCCTGCACTGCATAGAATCAATCCCTGCCCCCAACTCCTCCTAGTGTGTATATTACTCTGACAAAAGAGATACACAGAGGAAGAATAACTGTTTTTTTATATAATAGTTGATCTGAATTACATCTGACAGGCTATTTTTCTTTCTTCTAGGATCTGTAACACAAGGATGTCTACTTTGCACATGTGCTTCTCTATCAAATTTTGTGGAAGAGAATCACAAGAGCTACAAGGGCCTAACATGCTACTTCCGAGAGACTGTTCACAACCGAGACAGGCTACTATCATCTCAAAACACTATGGTCATAAAAAAACCCCAAACCAAAACACAGAGAGACCACTCATCTAATGATTAGCTAAGTAAGACTAGCTGTGATCATCTTTTCCACCTGCAATACTGTGATAGTTCACTTTTTCTCAGGAACATGTTAAGTCCTTTGATGGCTTTGGATATAAGACATAAGATAAGCACCATCTGTTAATATTACTGAAGCTATTTAGCTGCTTTTGAACACAGTAAGCCCCATTTTGCCAATAAAATTCGCATAGGTTTCAGCTACCTTGATATTACAAGCTCAGACTTTACATCCTTCCTGGGAGAAAATGGTTTATAAGCAATGGCTAAGTAAATCAAACCTTGACTATTACCATCTCCCTACCCTCAAAAATCAATACCAAAAGGATATGTTTTATATTTAACCACTATTCAGAGAATTAGCATGGATAAGGTTGGGAAAAAGTTATTTAAAATAACAGCTGTTCCAGCTGTCTATGCTTGACAGTAACAGCATACTGTAAGGACTAGAAGAAGAGTTTCTTCAATAAAGTGAAATCACGTATGCAGGGCCAGGGTATTTGTACAGACTGGAGAACAACCTGCTCCTCACTGTCTCCCTCGCATTAAAACAGCACAGCCTAGAATGTGTTACCATGAAGATGTGCAGTTCTACTCTGCAATCCCAAATCATCTGCCCTACACTCTTAAGAGAGAGTGACTTTTTTTTCCCATTTCAGAACAGGTATATGAAAACTAAGCTCCAGGAATGTATCAGCCTGCCATCTTAAGACAAATGAAAACCCATGCCAACTCTGTAGTTCTTGTTTACAGGTAGCTTGGTGAATGCATCTGAAAGGTCTGTTTAGGTGGGGAGCTTTTATCTTTGCCATAATAGCACAGCAACAGTTAGATATGATGAAAGAGTGACAGAAGACAGGATTCAAAGTATAACTTCATTCTGACTAAAGGCCAGGATCCATAATTGTAATGAAAAAGCCCAAATAAAGCTCTGAGCTAACCAGCTGTTTGTGGGAAAGCACCTGCCTATTAGCAAGCTTAACTAGAAATTAGAACCAACTAATGCTTCAGCAGGAGCACTGTCATAGCCAGCCATTAATCAGTACATGCAAGGATTGCGACTTTGCAAATGTGGGTGTGCAAACTAACCTCCAAAGTTGGCGAGCCGTCCGATCCTTGTGACAGGAACCTTCCTCTCCCGGGCCCGCTCACTGAGCTGCGGCGGAAAGAGGGGGAAAGGAAAACAAAACAAAAAGAAATCCACAAATGAACTGGTCATATGGTCAGATACCTGCAAATTCAGAGTGCAACTTTGAAAGCACTTGAACAACCCTGTGCTAGAGAAAGCTCTTCTTGAACACTGAGCCTTATATATGTTGAGAGATTTCCAATTGAACACCCTGCAGAACAGACACACCATTAACTGAAACATACACTAAGGAGTGGACAAGAGTGTGGGAAAGATAGAAGAGCTGACAACCATGTTTAGAAAGCCCATTTTTACTTTCACCTCAGCAGCCCTTATAGTTTGAACTTGGAGAAGCACCTCAATGCCAACCCAAACTCCCTTCCAGACATGGAATTAAAACTCATGGAAGGTTATCGGGTTCACAGTAGTGTAGATAATTCCCCCACACACAACAGCTGGAGCAGCAGAAGCATACCGTTTCATCAAAACAATATCCTGAGTGAACCCACAGTAGCATCTGATAGTGGGTTTGGAGAAGGCAGCAGAAGGTCAGAGCAGATGGCAAGTATCGCCACTGTAAATTGTGCTGTGGGCTTTCTGCGCTGTCTCACACAAGGGCATGAGGGACTAAAGCAAGAATTGGGAGCTGTGCTACTCTCCAATCCAGTAATACTCAGGGCAACATTCCCTCCACCTCTAGAAGGACTACAAGACAGTACAGGAAGCCACAGCCTCTCCTGAGAGGAGCTTAGGTCAAACTCATTCTTCACAGCCATAGCAAAGCAACTAGCTAAAGGGAACTGGGCCCTTCAAGGAGAATGTAGATTCATTAGGTCAGTCTTCAAACCTTTGAAGGCTACAGCAGTCCCCACCTAGTCAACATTTCACCCCCAAAACTGGGATGAAATACAGACCCTTCATTACTGTAAATGCATCAATAAATACATTGAGTCCTCATAGTCCAGTGAATGGAAGGAGAGCTCCTGTTAATATAAAACTGAAGTCTAACCCTATATATGCTTTTTTAAACATCCTCTCACATCAGAATATCTGACATAGAGGGGGCAGGTATGAAAGAAGAGCCTGAAAAGCTACTGACAGAATAAATACCAGAGATCAGAGTTAATGAGCACCGACACTTCCCTCTTTTGCCTCTACAAAAGGGAATAGCAGAAGAGGAAGAAATGAGAGAAACACAGGAGAAGGTGAGTAAGGACAATCCAGTATAGAAACCATAGTACTTAGAATCCTTTAAACAAACAAACATACCATCTGTTTGTAGGGTTTCTGCTCTGAACCTGCTTTGGCCTGTCTGGCTTTATCAATATCTTCAGCTGTTAATCCACTAACAGAGGAATGGTCTTGGTGAAAAGCCCTACTTTGTCCAAAGGCAGCAGCAAAAGGATTTCCAGGGTCCCTAAAGCCTCCAAATAACCTTGCATCCATTCTGGGAGGGAAAGGCTTCTGACCCATGCCAGAATCTCCAGTCTCACCAACACTTCTAAAAGGTCCATTTGTAGTGTAAGAGGAAGCAGGGCCTTCACCGCTGTGTTCATGAGGCTTGCCGGGGGCAGTGGAGAAGTCCGTTGCAGCATCTGATGGCTCTCGGGCTGAGAAGTCATAGTCTTTCCCAAAATCCTCACTGAGATCAGTTAAGTTCTCCTGCTGTTTGCCTAGTTCCTGCAAACAACAATAGAAATACTTTAAGAAAAGAACTTAAAACCTGTCCCCTACCCATCCGTGGTCTTCAGAGATGGGCACGCATCTAGGCTGTCATGTCTCCACAATAACTGATCTGTAGAGACTCTGGCACTGCAGTCATTCACAGTAAGAGACAGGAAAAAGAAAGAGATACTGAGGACACCTGGGATCACTGGCAGTCTTTCAACACCACTGATGGGACAAATTCCTTAACAGCTTCTCAAATACCCTTAACTGGAGACGCCTTGTTCTACATACACTGCCAGGAAGGGTCACTAACTGAGATGTTCACTAGAAGCAATATACTGCTCAGAAACAACAGGTGATGGGAGCTGCAATATCGCATAAGATATACTTAGGAAGGATAACAAAAAGCTAAACCTCCTAACGTTCAGTTCTTACCCCATCAAGCTCCCTTCTCCCATCCTGTCCCTAATCATGCAATATCAGCACTTTTAAGCCCAAAGCTACCCTAAGCAATACCAGATACCTACTTATAGGCAGAGTAAGCTCAGCCTTCCATGGCCATGACATTACTAACTGCAAAACACGTTTCATTATTCAACAACTAAACTATGGCAGGGTTTGTCATCATCCCAAAATAAATAAATAGAATTCTGTGCTTGAAGCAAGGATAGCAGCATCAGACATAGCAACAGTCAAGCCAAGCTTCTCCTGACAGTCTTTTCTGTTCTGTCCTGATGTGCAAGAGCTGCCCCGCTAAGTCCAGATATTTCCCACTGCTTTTCAATGTAGAAAAAAAAAAAATTAAAAAAAAAGCAGCAGAGCATTATCCCCTATTTACTCATTACTTGACATATTCTAGTTACCCATCTCAGGAGCAGCAATAGCATGGAAGAACTGACAACTATCATAGCCAATCAACAGGATTTTAAATCCTGCTGTGGTCAGGCATGCAAGTAGCATATTTTAGGCTCTTTCCTAAACACTAATTACACTTCCCTTCCTTACAGAAAAAAACAGAACACGGTCTTTCCTGTTATTCAGCAGGTCTCATGCTATTCTGAACCACGGCATCACAGCAGGGGGGAAAGGAGAAATCTGTTTACAGATGGGGACTGTGGCCACAATACTGACTGATGATTTCAAGCAAGAAGGCCTACTTCCATACTGAAATTTTAAAAAGCATGTCAGACAGCCAAAACCCTGCCACAGATCAAAAGAAGTGAAATATAGTCACTTAACATATAAGCTTTCCTCTCTTCAAAACAGAAAATGTTGTAGCTTCAGACTACAGATTTCTTACTGAGCCCTGCTTTGGTAGCAGCTTCTCACACAACTCATTTACAGAACACAGGGCAAGCATTCTGCAGGCGTGCTTATGGGGCCTCTCATGCAGAGAAACATGCACAGACACAGGAGAACATCTCCCTCTCCCTCCCTCCTTGGATGCAAGAGGAGGACAAAGGCAAGACAAAGCACTATACCCATAAACACACACACTTAGGGTATTTCTACTGCAAGCTTAAATAGAACCAAGGAAACAAGCCCTGATTCTAGGACTGAAGCTACAGACCGCCAATGATGGGCTAAACTCATTGCATAAAAAAATCAAAATCTCACTCATTAGTTTCTGCTTCAAAAATGATTATCTGAGCTACACTGTCTTTCTAGAGGATCATAAAGGATGATAATTTTTGATTAAGAGAAGTTCTTTCCCTCAGACAAGCCCCGTGTTTTCAAGAGATGGCAACACAGCAAATGTGAAGCTCTTACAAATCCATCCCCACGTCTAGTGACAGAAGCTACTACTTAAAAAAAAGTCTGGCTTTCCATATGTTCCTCACTTGAAAATCAGTTCTGAAGATCCAGCCTGGGCTGTAAGTGATGAACATACAAACACCTGACCCTGAGCCATTCTGAAAAATACCGCGTGCAACAATTCTGTCAAGAAAGGAAGCAGCACTCAGATAAATCTTATTCACTCTAAAAGAGCTCATTCACTTGGTCAAAGGAGAGGTAATCAATGACTGAAGTTTAAAGGAGACTTTAAATAACAAAGATGCTGGCCAATCTTAGGAAGAGCTTGATCTTTGACAAGATGAGGTGAACAGAACACTTTTCATTTTCAGCATGTCTTAAACACTCAGTAATGGAAACGGAAACATTCTGCAGTAACGTTCCCCTCCCATTCCTGTCCAAGCACCTACTGCACACCACAGAAATCCTGGAGAATTCCCAGAGCATTGCAACATCTGTATTATCAATCCAGCACTTCAGAGCTAGGTTCTAGTTCACAGTGCGAGTTCTAGCCACTCTCACAACAAAACCAAAAAGTACCTGGAGGAAAAAAAAAACATCAGACTAGACTGTGCACAGAGAACTTTGCTTACCTGCACTTTTCCCAAGACAGAACTGAACCGTTCTTCAGCAGTGGCCTGGAGAGTCCTTGCAACGGTAACTGCATCGCTCCCAAGGAGCACCTGCCGAAGCTGTCCTGCTTGGGTTTCTAGGACTGCTTTACTAAGCTTTGTCAAGCCTTTCATGACCATGATGGCATCACCCGCCATGACTGATTTCTGTGCTGAAAGATGAAAAAGAAAGAAGGGGGGAGGGGGAGAGGCAAGAGGTTAAGGAACAAGTTTGCAAGCAGTTTCAAGTCACCTAAGAGCCAGTGGCATATCCCAGACAATCTCTTTCTGCTTTGGCAACCAGCCACCATGGGAACTTGTCTGCAGCTCAGATAGCACACAGGCCAGCTTGAATGACAGCTAGTTAACTGACTTTACCAGGCAAAGCAAGAACTCTCCTTATGACTGTTCAGGAGTTAGGACAGCATTCCAGGACTCCACACAAATATTCAAGTTACCATTGACCAGGGGAAGCAAAGACAGGTAAATGTCAGTAACACTGCAAAGATGGCCTTGATTCCTTCCAGATGTTTAAAAAGGATTAAAAGCATTAGCATTTGACCTTTAATTATTATCAGGCCCTGGAACATATTCTTAGTGCCTGATCACACGGATGAAGTGCATTGACAACTGACACATCCCATTCCTGCCCTGGAGCTATGCCTGCTCATTTTACATAGCCAAATTTATTCACCCCCACACCAATGAGTAAGCTTTGTCTGCCTTCCAAGGGTAGCCTGCCCAGTCCTCAACTTGTAGCTCGCTCTGCCACTTTTAATTGGAACCTTAAGTATTGTCAGAACACCTACCTACCACAGCATTTGCAAAGTACTGCACTACAGGGCTAAATTTTTTACTCAGTCCCCTTTCCTGTTCAAGAGGCACTCCATCTCAGATTCCTAACAGTCTGTGCCATTTCAGTGTCTTCAAATACAAACTGGGCACTGTACGATGCAGGACAGAGTGTGTCCGAGAACACTCATGGAGTGTTCAACATGGAGTTGTTGTTCCACCAACAACTTTGTCTCAGCCTAGAACCAAGCTCAGGCTCAGGACACCAGCTTTCCTACATCACTGTGGTTCATGTAAAAGAAAATCGAGAGTGGTCGGGGTCCCAAAACCATTTTGCAAGGGAGATTTTTGCCTGCTTATTTCACTCATCTCCCACATCTTTAAAGCATAGTCAGGGTCACAGTTCCAGGGCTGGCTCCATTGCACATCCTCCCACCTTTACTGACACAGAAGATAGAGGCATGCATTTGGCACAAGATGCTGACTAAGGTTCAACCTTACCCATACAGCATTCTCTGTAATTATTTGGAGACAAAAAGTGTTCTGGCTGCAATAGGTACCAAGCACTTGTCTAAGGCCACATATTTAAGTTAAGTTATCTCCTAGGTAGGTACACAGGTACCAATTCATTTTTAGATCACCTGTCAACACCCACATATGCACTACAACTATAAACATTAATACACTGAAGTGGTACAAGTGATCTTGAGTCAACGCTACACACGGCATTATGCCCTGCTGCAGATCACATGCAATTGAATCCAGTTACCTTCTTGGGAAACGCAAACATGTCTCAAACATGTCTGCTGTATCAGTCATGCAGGAGAAGTATGGACTGCTATTGCTAAATTTCTGGATAAGTACACAATTTTGCTGCAATTGCACAGGAGATGCATGGATTACTACAACTGAATTTCAGAAGCACACTATTATCCAACGCAGGGTAAACCCAGTTACTGGAATATTTGTTCAACAACTGTTAATCAGTAATCAAAAATCAGGAACAACCACTGTAGCCAGGAAGTGAGTATGATACGTTACATGCTTTAAGTACGGTTGTTAGAAGGCCAGTCAAGTGTTTGCAACAAATCTGGGCTTAATGGGTTAGCTGTAAAAATAAAAATCAAGCCTATCCAGGTCATTATTCTGTGGTTATCCTTACAAGACCTATCCATATGCTCCAGACCTGTAAGATGTGTTATTCCTGAATCTCTCCAGAGTTTAATCATTAGGGTTGGTTTTAACATTGTATAATGCACTTTTAAACTTGAAAGCTGCCTGTCAGGTAAGGAAATATACTCTGTCAACAGGAGGTGGTTCCCCCCCCATCTTCACACTGGAAATTTCCACATGGATCTCACTCAAAGCATTTGCAGGCAGTCCCTGCAATTCAGAGCCAGGCAAAGAAACCAGCCAATGCCACAGTACCATCCCAGCTGAAATGAGACTGTTCAAAGGCTAAGCACTACTAAGAAGCAAGTGCTTCTTTGTAGTGGGTAGTATTAGAAGGGCAGGAAAGCCTGAATGCGAAAAGTTCATAGCCTCCCTCCCAAGGGCAACAAAAGATAATGCAATATAGATCAGTGTACACTTGGACAACACACACAAACACATCCACTTTTAACGTGGATTCTTTCTAACCAATGATACTAAAACCATATCCTCCTTTCACCCAAAAAGAGCTGAAGGATTTATCTTGAAGTGACAGTTGTGATACGCTAAATGTGCATTTTGTAAGAAAAATATATCTTCCAACAAAATTTCAGGGAAGCTAATGCAACCACAAATGGAAAACCTACATAGCACAATGTGTGCTCAACCCTCCATTGCTAAATATATCAACAAGCAGAGAGGACCAATTGCCCTTTACAGGTTTGGCTATAAAAGGCAGCACTGGGCACGTTGCTACCAATATCCCTCTCTGACTTCCATGCTATCACCCCCACTTTCCTCTGCACAGCAATTACAAACACCTAGGTACCATGCAAGTGGTTTGTTAGCTCAGAAGCATCAGCAACATGCTCCCATGCAGCGCTGCAAAAGGACAGGCTATTATAACAGGCCATTTATCCTAGCACCTTGCTGAAACACAGGCTTCTGTGTAGGAAATACAAGCTTACAGGCAACTGACTTGCTGTTTTCAATGATCTTTCAGATTCGCTGCAGGTAGCTCACAAACCCGAATGAAAACCACAGCACAAGCACAAAGGCAGGACATGGCTCAATAAGGACTTCAGAGGTCAAACGCCAGGAGAGTCACCAACAAATAAAAGCTGAGAAGGAGGAACATATTTTCAGAAGCGAGACCATACTCCTGCTTTTTAAGAGAATTGTGTCTGTAAGCCATGTCCTTCCAGTTCCTCATCTTTTGTACACCAAGTCCTTGCCTTTAACAAAGCACAGTCAGGAAAAAGCAGAGGAAACAAAAATAACTATACTGCAATGATTAATCCTTTGGCAATAAGCATCAGGAGCAAGAAAACATTCAGGTAATATCTGTACCCATCATCAAGCAATAAGGAGATGGGAGCTAATAAGTACGAGAACTGAACCGATACTGGAGGCATTTTCTTCAAGTGGAAAAAATCCCAGGTTATCTAGTTTTGTAGACCCTACATTTAGCAGGACACATGGGTTAATTATCCTGGGAAGGACACAGAAAGCAGAGACTAACAAGGTTATCAAGCAGAAGGGGAAAACATGAAAGAAAATACATGCTAGATAAACAAGAAGGGAAAAGACTACATACAAAAAAAATAACTAAGAATTAGGAAAATTACCTTTTTTCTTCAATGAAAAAGCAATAAGCACAAGCAAGGACAAGAGACACAAAAACTGAAAGACAGAGGAAGCACACACTTCCAAGAAGACTAGTATGTATCCCCAATAATACACTTGTGTTAATACCCAGTGCAGACAGCAGGCAAGGGATTCCCCCCCCCGGCCCCGCCATGGCAAGTTCTATTCATACCACTAGTAAATTAATAAACAGCGTAAGCACGCTCTATCAAAGACAGATTTAAGGAGTGGTTTCAAACAGAATTGGTGTACAAAGTCTATATCACACCTGACTTGTCTCCTGAGCAGTCGTTATCTAGCTCTAGCAAAGTAGGGCACTGCTGGCATGGAGTATGGACGAGTCGGCCGTGTCTACACAGGCTGTCAGAGTGCCTGCTAACCTGGACTGAAGAGGGTTGACAAGTGTCAGTCATGCGCTATTTTCCAAGAATAGGCAGGGTCACAGTTTTTGCTTAGTAAACTTCTCACAGCTGAATGAATCTCTGGAAAACACCCACACCTTCTGGCATCAGGAGGCTAGAGCCAAGCCATCCACAGACACCAGACGAGGTCCACACAGCAGGCAGAGGGGCTTGTATAGGTTAGATGCCACACCAGTAGGTTAACCGTCTCCTGACATTGCACCAGATTTTGAACCCTGTTGTAACGATATAACTAAATCAATGCCTGGGATGCTCCTATGCGAAACGACCCCCTGCCTCACAAGCCACTGTCCTCTAGTGACCAACTAACTGCTGCCCGCTTCCTCCCTTCTTCAACGCACCAGGCTACCAGACTGAAGGTTTAAGCAAGTCTAGCGAGACATTCAGCATATCAGAGGCCAGTAACAGAAACATAAAGCCTCACAACAGGCAGCATATGAATTCTTATATTTGTACTGTTTCCAAAACACATCCCTCCCCTCATTCCTCTTTTCCACATGCTAACATATCCTCCTACAGACACACAGACCAGCTTCTGACTTCACGTGCTTTTTTCCAGATGCTTGTACAGGCAAAAACCTTACGCATATATACACATGCGTATACACACACACATATCTATACGACAGACCAAGTTTAAACACAAGGAGACTTCTAATCGTACAGAAGTATACCAGAAATGTTTCTGAATATTTCAATGTAAGGGAACTATTTCTACCATCAACAGTTTGCTATCCACCCAAGAAGCTCACCTACTTTTGAGTAATTAAAAAAAAACAAAACAAAACAAACAACAACAAGAAAAAACAACCAAAAAACCCAATACAAACAAGCAAACAAAAAACCCCACAACCAAAACCAACCACCAACCAAAAAAGCCACCTAAACCCCAGCAGTTTTATAGTAGCCCCTATTACCCCTCTGTCATGGTTTAACCCCAACTGGTAACTAAGCACCATGCAGCTGCTCACTCATTCCCCCCCTACTCCGTGGGATGGGGCAGAGAATCAGGGAAACAAAAGTAAAAAAACCCACAAGCTGAGATAAGAACAGTTTAGTAGAACTAAAAGAAGAAACTAATAATGATAACAATTACAATAATAAAATGATAATAATAATAAAGGGATTGGAATATACAAAACAAGTGAGGCACAATG